CTATCTGGTTCCATCTAGTCTGCTAACTTCCCTCCATCTTACTTCACATGACCTTGATGCAGTCTTCTCCACTTCTTTTTCATTCCCCATTATTGATGGCCTAGCTGGAAAGAGCGGAGGGCAATCGTCCGTTATTGGACTTTACTTTGTAGGGAAAGTGCTGTCCTGTTACTCTATTCTGGGGCTATAGAGATACTTTGCTGCATTATTTCAGATGCCTTTCTCATTAGTGTTCCCAGACTTCTGTTGCTACTCATGATTTTTAATTTTTTTTTACTTGTTTCTAAATAGGTATGAGCAAAATACTAGGACTCTTGCTGCTGCTACTGTTACCTACTAATAGAGAATTGGATCCCCATCTTAGACCAGTCACCTTCTCTTACTGGTGCTGGTGCTCCCCACCCCCTTCTTTTACCTGCCTACATTTGACTGTTGTACTACAGTTGGTCTCATTTCTGGATCTGTAACTTAGACCCCAGCTGCATACTATTCTCTGGCATGTATAAATATATATAAGCTATTTCTAGGTTTTCTGACTGGCAAAGATGAATCCTCCAGCAGCCACTGCTTCAATGCCTAGCTGTTTTCTCACCTCCCCCCTCCCCCCATTACAGCTATAGAAATTTTGGCATATTTTATTTTTTCTCACTGATAACTAGGGTTGAATACCGTGGGATATTGTTTCCGTCATTTAGCTGCCATATTATCTAGTATCCTCTTTAGGACTTCTCCCTTCTCCACCTGTGGGACTTATTCTGTCTAATCTGGACAGTATCTCTGACTTTGAACTGCCACTAATTTACAATTCAGTCCCCATTTGCAGGGTTTCTCAGGCTTATGGGTTTATGTATCCAGATGACTGAGTCAAAGTCTCACTTTATTTCTTTTCTTCAACTTTGGGTTTTTTTGATAGACCTAATGTCTGAAAAGCAGATTCTCTTCCTCCCTACTGAAGATATTTGCTCCTTGGTGGAACAGTTGTTCCACATATTTAAGGTGCTCTGGCAACCAGCAGTTCCAGTTAAGGTTCTGTTTTTTAAGTTAGGACATAATGATTCTTTAGTGTTAGCAGCTGTCCTAAGGCTATCAGTGAAGAGTCAAGAAAATTATATAGTTATGGTCACCATTTCTATACTATAGCAGTTGTTGATCTCCAAATCACCAGTTTTTAAGCTAGTTACCTTTTTTTTTATGAGACAAGATGTGAGAGATTGTAGGAAGAAAGTGAGGGACAAGTGTCTGGTTTATCTGAGAAGAGGCTACTTAGTCCAAATGTGAGAGATGCAGGAAGTGCTTCAAAGAGACCCTATCTTGATTAATTCACTCTTAACTGTGGCTGTGAATTTACTATTACAATTTTCAGGATTCTACTTTATCCCTGACTAGCATTAAATATTTCTGAAATCTGTATTGTTCTTGCTTCCTTGACAGAAGATGGCATCACTTTTGCTGAGAGATTAGCAACTATCTGCAAAAGGATTTTTGTATAGAAGCCAGTATTTTTCTACAAATACAAGATCAGCACCCCTAGACAAATTGTGACTTGCACTGCTAAATCTCTAGTGGAGGCTTGCATTAAGGAGTCATTGCTTACTGAAATTGTTGGGTCTGTCAGCTTATGTAAAAAACCTTCCTTTGGGGTAGAATGTTTATTTATCAATAAAACTGATGACACAAAGCAAAGTTTAGTATCTGCATGTTTGTATGGATTTATCCATGCTCAATTCTCACCCTTCTTATTTTCAGTGCCACTGTTGGGAATGAAGTTCATACTAAAATCCATACACTCAGTCTTTTCTTGCTATATCAGAAAAAGCATATAGGTATCTGATTTTTCTAATTTTTCATAAGCTAATTCTTTGTCCCCCTTCCTTTCACCCCTGCCAACATTTTGGATGGTGACAAAATCAAGCATCCTTCATCTTCAGGGCAGAGACCAGATTGTGTGACTAGACTTAAAAGATGCTTATTTTAATTGGAATGGTCACTGGCTGGTCACTTCAGTTCCAGATTTGTTCACAACTCTACCCGATTTAAGTATTATCTTTTGGGGAGCGTTCACCAAATACATAACTGTGATGCTTGCTCACCTGGAAGCATAAGGTCATGGATTTTCCTACAGATGGACAGTTGGCTCCTTGAGGCAGATAGTTGTCTTCACATACTATTTTTCTTCTTTCTGTCCTCAATTAGGACAAGTTAATCTGTATCCAGTGCAGGTGGATTCCTACACAGAAATAATTATAAATTCAAACATATGAAGGGTATGCCTGCCCTCTGATTAAGTGAAGGTGCTTGTGAATTTAGCTGGGTCTCTCTTGTGACATCTGCTGGTTTTAGAGGATTAAATGGAATGCTTGCTTAGCTCAACCTTTGAATCATAGTAGAGGTTGGATTTGTTTTTCTCTGCATGTGATCTCTCTAAATTGGGTTCATCAAAATGTTTAATTGAACAGTTGAACCTGAATACGTTTTTCTTCAATTTCCGCTAGCCCTTTCAGCTTCCCTGCTTTGTTAGATAAATCAAATACATTTTATGAAAAAAAAGCAACTTTCCATCATTCAGTTAACCCAAAATCTGGCAATCCATTCCTCCAAATTTGGATGAGGAAAACATTGCAGAAATCACTTGATCTCTAAAGTGTGTCCATTGTTACAAGGTCTGGCAACATATAAACGTGTTATTCAACATCTGTTGCACATTCCACTTTCTACTAGCCAACCAGATTGTACAAGTGGTATTGGGGAATACCATGACAATATTTTACATATGCAGGCAAAAAGGAATCTGCTCATACGGTAGTTGTTATTGCTCTTCACTTTAGCTGAATGGCTCTGGTGGATTTGACACTATATATAACCGTATCTCTTAGCAATTCCTTTCTGGGAGAGGGCAACATAATAGCTGACAGACTCAAGTATTCTTTTTATCATTGCCTAGAGTTCTAGTAACATGCTCCTGTTAGAGCAGCTGAGCAGTCAGTGTTGTTCTCTTCCCTTTGTAGAAAATAAAGTATGTATAATGCTAAATACAATATTTGCTTTAGGTGCTCAGTTATCAGAAGATTGGATTGAATGAGCGGGTTCAAATTATTATGATGTAAGATATCCTTGTGTAGGTTTTCCTCCAATCTTTTTTGAAATTTTTGTGCTTCAGAAAAGGAAACAGTATGCTGCCTTTTTAGAGGAACACATTTCCACAGGATAGGAGGGGTAGTTCCCAAATGGCCTATTGAAATCAGCAGGAAGGTTTCAAATTCCATTGCTTAAACCTTGGTTTTTTTTTTTTTTAGTGAGAAAGTTTTTTGTGTGAAACATGTTTTCAAAACAGACATGTACACAATGTGGAATATATGAAAGTCAGACAGTAACTCCCCTCATAGAGAGACCAGTTCATTCTCTCTTGGAGCACAGCCTCAATTGGATCCACTATTGAAAATATTGTAGGCCTTCTGGGTAGTAAGTTCTGGTTTTATATCCTCAACATAAAACAAATCTTTGAAAATGCAATGGAGACCATCTTTTAATGTTGCTTAAAATACATCTTAAAGTACATTGTTACATTTGCTTATTTATTAGGTGGATTACATGGATGAAAATGAAGAGTATTTCCAGCGACAAGCATCACATAGACAATCTAGAAGGAGATTTAGGAAAATCAACCAAAAAGGAGAAAGACAAACAATTATTGATACTGTTGATGCTTATCCTGTAGGGAAGCCACCCTTACCTAGAGGTTATCATACGGTAAGCTGTTCATATTTGCATAGTATATGTTACAGTGTAAGTATGAGAATTAAAACATGGAATCGGTGATCATTAACCCTTTTTCTATTGTGAATACAGATATACCCAAATTTCTCCATGTATGAAAGTTGCCTTGCTTTTATAATATGTATTTATGTGCAGAATGTATTTTAATATGTTGAATATTTAAAGTACATTTTACATTAATAAGTCTGTGTCTGAACATTCATTTCTATGAATGAAAGTTATTTCAGCTGAGAACAAATTTGTGATGCATTATCTATTTAAGCATAGTTTTATTTTATCTCTTCCCAGCATGATTAAACCAGACTGTGCATCTTCCACTGACGTGGCTGACATAATTTAACAAATCTGAACCAAATCTTTATCATCTGAGAGAGCATTATGTTGCATAATTAGCTTTCAAATGATTTTAATTCTCTAGCTGAAGAAGATATATTTGTACTTTAATATTATAATATATAATTTTAAAATGTAAAATGAAATAAACATTTGACTAATGTTTAAAAGTGTTCCTACTTTGAAATACCTGAGTCTCAGCATCAGGTAAACTTTGCAGGAGTTGTATAGTATAAAAGTGATATGGCAGCTTATACAGTCATTTTTCATCGTGTAAGTAGACTTCCAGAGCATAATTGTATGATGAAATAAGTTAAGTACATATACATTGAGTGTGGCAGCAATAAACACCTTTGGTCACAAAATTAATGCTAAGTGGGATTTTCTGTTCTTTTTAAATATGCTGCTTTTTGAAAGCTTAAAGTGGTATACAACTAACAAAAACTATATTAGCTCTCAAAAATTGTAATTATACTTAAAAGTTCTATATTTAAAAAGAAACTAGAGAAGAAAATTTCCTTATTCTAGAAGGAGGCTCTTGCTAAAAAAAATTCTGGAAGCCTAACTCTTTCCTGACAGATAGATGGGCTTAGATAACAAGATAACTATTTTAACTTCTGGTTAGCAAATGGGTTTCTGTGGAGAGACTTACTCTTAAGAGATTAAGATTTTCATTATGCACACATTGATTTTAAGACCAGCACTTTGAGTTAGTCCACAGGTAAATTATGTAACTGATATAGAGCATGCATACGGATTAACCTTCTATCCCCAGTTATGACATGAGGCATTTTATTCTGTACCTATAGGTAATTTGATAATTAATTTCAGTATATAGAAGCATGGAGAATCAGACCTGGAAGTTATGCATAGAGGAATCAGGTTGGGAAGACATGGCATTTCTATAAGAGAAAGAAGTCTTTTGATTACCTGTAGTTTCAATACAATGAATGAATCTTTATATCTGTTTTCCTGAATTAGTGTGCTAATGCAGTAAAGAGAGAGTCTTTTGGATCATTTGGTATCCTTCATGTGCTCTCTCTGATTCTAAAGTATTCAGGAATGACATTTTCTAGAATGTTTGTTCCTTTATTTGTAGCCAATTTCAGTCTATAATTATTGCTGGCCTGTAAATGTTTGCTACTATCAAAAGGCTTTTCTTGATGCTTTGTGAATCTGTTGAATAACCCAGATTGTTTATTTTGTTTGTGTAACAGAATGCTTTTCAGGGAAAGGATTAACTTTGTTAGTTTGTATGTGATTTTATGAGTTCTTATATTTGAACTCAATACCCTAATATAGAATATTTTTGATAAATTTTATTAAATATAAAGAAGAAACATTGATACATTTCTCACATTTGTCCAAACACGTGGTAGGAACAGGCAGAGACTTACTTTGGCCGTGGTTCTCATGTGCACCCATTGTAAATATAATACTTAATTATGCAAGCTTTCTTTTTTGTCCTTCACTGTAAAAAGTCACTTTATGTGAGATGGTGGCTATATAAATATGATAGATAGATAGATAGATAGATAGATAGATAGATAGATAGACAGACAGACAGACAGACAGACAGACAGACAGAGAGAGAGAGGAAGGCAGCAAATCAAGCTGTAATATAAAACATGAATGGTTTCTCTCTATGCAATTTCCTTTATTTGGTTTATAAAACAGAAATATTTGCTGAGGTAGCTCATGCTCAATGAATTATGTTTCAAAGGCTGGTGCAAATAATACATTAAAAGGAAGTATAGATGTAATCTATTCAAGAAAATTGACAAATTCTAGTAATACTACTTTATAATAAATATACTACTGTATATTAAATGACTCAGTTGCTTAGGGAAAGTATGTACAGACCGTAAGTCCATTTTAAAAACTTCCTTACATAATAGCATTAGTTCATAATAGTATATGTTTTGTTATATCTGATAATGTTCATCTTTTCCTTTCCTCCTATGTGGCATTCATTTCATTTTGGCTCACAGGAATGCACTAAACAGCAGGTATTGTAACCTATGTGTATGGTCCTTTAACGTTTATTTTTCCCAAGTTTGGTGTGTGACTAATGTCTTAATTCTGGCTTGTTGTTGCTAAATTTGTGTTATATCCCTTCTGTTCCACTACATAATATGTATTTTAGCTGGAATTTAAAATACACAAATTAAATGTAAATCCTTGTGACATCACCATTATTAGCATTTCATTTGTTGTTGTTGCTGTTGTTACTATTAATTGCCTTTGTGGCATGCTTCATTGTTAAAAGTTTCATAGTTTTCCATACAACGTTTAGAAATATAAAGTGGTGGAACAGACCCTTTAGATATTATATCTGTAAGTTTTACAGTTTTTATTCCCAAGCAGCACCTGATGTTACAGTTCAGCAATTGGGCTGTATAACAAAAGTTAGTTTCCTACAAGCGACAGTTTATATTCAGAATGTAATGGAATGAGCTGAAGTACAAAATTACATATTTAAATTCTGATCTGTAGCATTTTCATTTGTTTAAAATTGAATTAGTGTGAGATTTTCTTTCAAAGTAGCTAATAAAGATTAATACTATAGCATAGATTCAAGAATTCTCTTAAACTACTAGGAGCTAGTAGTGATGAACATGCAGATTAAGAATTTACAATATATTATATATATTTATAACAGTACTTTATCCTAGATAACATTCTTAGGTATTAATGGTATTTATATAATAGTATTACAGTGAAATGTTTGTAAGTTAAAAGATACAGTCTTGAAACATTTTCTCAGATCTCAATTTCTCCTGGAGTTAATCCAAGGTCACTTCTAAAAAAAAAACTGTGAACATAATCTGACTTGAGTATGGCTTTTTTCTAAGTTCATTAAGACTTGAGACTTCATTCCTGCTGATTGAGTTGAGGACATATATGTCTGAGTACCTTGTCATATTGTATGGCTGCTTGCTGTTCAAGAAGGTTTCACTGAATGAGGATAATCCTAGGAAGCAGTGTCTCAGTAGCCTGAATTGAACCTCATTCTAATCAAGCAACCCCTCTCCTTCACATTCTAATGTGATACAGTGATACAGCATTTGTCTGCAAGAGTGGTGTAGTATCAACTACTGCCAGAAATACTCTGTCTCAGTCCCTCCCACATTTTGAACAATGCCGGGCCTTAACTATGTGCATTATGGCCATCATGTCATTTGTCATGTGCTGAATCAGCATCTACTTGTCCCTGGGTCCTTCTACACAGAAGTAGATGTTCGCTTGATCTTACCATGTCCCATCTACTGCACTATGAGGGAGAGGAAAGAGACATTTTAAAAAATAACTTTATCAAGCTTTTAAAACATTAAAATTAACACTTATTTTTAAAAGATATTAGCTTGTAATATTATATATGCACTAAGCAGCAGTGTAAGTATATAGTTATATACATATTGTATGTACGTTCCTTCGAGTCATTGTTGACTTCTGGTGACTGCCTGGATTAGTCCCTGCACTGTTCTTGCTAAGATTTCAGAAGTGGTTTGACATGCCTCCTTCCTAGGGCTGAGAGAGAGTGACCGGCCCAAGGTCACCCAGTTGGCTATATGCCTAAGGCAGGACTACAACTCACAATCTCCTGGTTTTTATCCCAGTGTCTTTACTACTACACCAAATTGGCTCTCATACAGTTATATAACAATTGTACAGAAGAGTATATACTTTAAAAAGAGAAACCTAACCTAGTATGTAATATACTATATAGTGAAGGGGAAAAAAGCAAAAAAGTATGCTAAACTATTAAGGGGGAACAGAAAGAAAAATAAAAGGACCTCCCTAGAAAATGGAAGAAAACTAGAAAAGAAAGAAACAGCTAAAAAACTAGAAAACTAATAATTAGCACAGCTAAAGTATATCTAATTCCAAATATATATTGTTTTAAAACTTATTTTATATTAATATTATCTGAAGACTGACATCCTTTCATGAGGCCAGTTTATGCAGGATTGCAGCTAATGCCTTCTGTAATGTTCTTGTTAAAGCAGTATTAAAATCTTAGCATCAACATTTAACAGTTATATTGGATGATAACTTGTAAATCCTTAAAAGCCTTTAAAATTAATATGAAGATGCCTGAAACATATCTAGAAGTATAGGAGCTGTCTTCTCCTTATTTTGTTTTATATCATTCTGTAATTATTTCATCTGGTCAAGGGGCCTTTCCAGATTTCATCATATCAGTAGTATCATGTATTTCCTGTAAGGTTAAAGTCATACCCAGCTCACCTGATTGTACATCAGAAATTTATGAAAATATTTTTATTAAACTTAAAAAAAGCATCTGAATGCTCATTAGCATGTTCTATGTATAGAATTTAATATTGAAGCTGATTTTTTTTAAACAAGAAACACATATAGATCCAAATGAGAAAAGCCTTTTACTAAGATAATAGATTTCAATTTTTTGAAATGTATAGAATTTAATATTGAAGCTGATTTTTTTTTAAACAAGAAACACATATAGATCCAAATGAGAAAAGCCTTTTACTAAGATAATAGATTTCAATTTTTTGAAATGTATAGAATTTAATATTCTATATATTTCAAAAAATTGAAATCTATTATCTTAGTAAAAGGCTTTTCTCATTTGGATCTATATGTGTTTCTTGTTTAAAAAAAAATCAGCTTCAATTCACAAAAAAATCTGTGTTCTTTTGTAGGCAGCCCTTTAGCATTCCATGATGCAAATGTGTTTAAACTTTTTTTTAAAGAAAAATACCAAATGTGTTATTGAAGTGGCATCTGAATGAGATCCCAGGTCTACATGACAAATAACAAAATATTAAACATTGTGTGATCCATTATAACTGTTTTAAAGCAAGTGTCTTGCCAATGCTTGTCAGTATGATTTGTTTATTGTTGCGTGCAATAGCAAAGGCAAGTGGGTGATGCTGTGATGGGCTTAAACATTGCTGATGTTGAAATATATTTGTTGTGTTGCCCTTGCCTACTTATTCCTTGCAGTAAGTGGAGACAAAATAAAATGGGTCACCAAAATGGCATGCCCATTTTGGTGGTTGGAAGGATGTCTACAGATTCCAATGGATCCCATCAGTACTGTGAACTTGAATTCAGAAATGGGCAGTTCTTCCTCTTTTCTCTTATTATTCAAGTTCGTAATAGAGCAAAGGGGGAGGTTGAAATGGGTTAAGAAGTTAAAAGGAAATTAGAGTTGGACTCAGCAGGAGAAAAAGAAAATGGCTAGCAAGAGATGATGAAATTAGAAAGTCTCGGGTTTCTAAAGAAATGCAGATTCTAGGATAATTCAAAATCTCCTAAAGACGAGTTAGGAGGAGAAAGACATGGGAACTCTCTAACTGACTCACATGTTCAGAGAGAGAAGAGGATCTGAAGACATGGAAAAGAGGATCAAGGTAGACAAAAGAGATTGCCAGCTAAGCTTAACTGAAGCCCTTGATTGAGTCTCCATGGAATTGAGTAATAGTTGTACACTTAGTTATAGCTTAACTAGGTATAGGTCATATTAACAGCAGTACTTTTGCAGGCAGAGGGATACTTAATATCATAATGCTAGAACAATTAGGTCATATAGTGATTTACTACATTCAAACCTTCTTTAAAGGCAGATGCCAGAAATGTGTATGGGAGGATGGGAGTGTGTGGTGGGGACTGGAGCTCTGTTTATATACATTAACTAAATGTTACTTCCCTGATATGCTATGAGTAGAAAAAGTGATTGACTTGGTTCACAAGAAGGACATTGGCTGCTATGTCTTGTCTGATGAATTCTAACAACACATGACAAGTGGTGACAGCATAGTGGGAATGAACAGATAAACAGTTGATTCTTTTGAATGAAAAATTGTAACAAGGTCCAAGAGAAAGAAATAGTTAAGGCCAAAGATTTGTGCTGCTATCCAATGTTTCTTGGACCCCTGGAGGTAGAAACAAGGCCACACAAATGTGTTTTTGCTAAGAGGTTAGATGATGAGCTAATAACAAAATGGGCATATCAGATTCAAAGGAAGCTCTGTGTGTGTGTGTGTGTGTGTGTGGGTGGGGGGCATTACAGAGCCCAGTAATAAGCTGAAGGTTCACCAAACCTTCCCACAGTTGATGAGAAAC